AAACGTGTACCTATACATACAATATTCCGCCACACGAACTAGGATCCATTATGACCTACAAATACCAATTTTCAGACAAATCCGTGAAATTCGATCTTTTGATTATTATAGCCACATTAATAATCAAAAGATCGAATATCGGGAGGTACCTTTATATGGGGACTATACCAGAACGTGGAACGATATATCTCATTTTCAATACCAACCGTCCTAAACACAATACAAATCGTTCTGCTAAATTTTGACGCTCTACATTAAATAATGTGGCTTGTATCGTGATTTCAACAGACAGGCGGACAGACAGACAGACGGACATCGTTAAATGGGCTTAGAATTTTATGCTGATTATGAATATATATACAGGGTTGCCCATATTCGACGGACCCATGTTTTTTTTTTTTTAAATCAAAGAAAAAAATAAAAATTTGGCAGTTGGCAATGTTAATAATTTAATTTGTTCCAAGTAGATTTGTTTACATCATTTTTTGAATATGACATCTCTCAAATGGCCGCCTCTGGCGTTGATGAAGTATTGTGCCCTTTTTGCTGCATTTTCCATCGTTTTTGCCAACATTTCGGCCGGAATATCGGCTAATTCTTCACGAATGTTGCTCTTGAGGTCTTCTACGTTCCTTGGCTTGTTAACGTAAACCTTTGACTTCAAATATCCCCACAAGAAGAAGTCAGGCGGCGTCAAATCGGGCGAACGCGGTGGCCAGTCTAAATCACCACTTTTCGACATCAAACGGCCCGGAAACAAATTCTTGAAAAAATCGATTGTTATGCGACTTGTGTGCGGTGGAGCGCCGTCTTGTTGAAACCAGAGCTGCCTTATAGGCTTTCAACGAATAATTGGCATCACAAAATTGGTCATCATGTCGCGATAACGCTGATCCTGATTGATGGTAACCATGACCATGTTGGTCATTTTCATTTTGGAATAAAAACGGCCCAATGACCGTTTTCGCACTAACGCCGCACCAAACTGTGACTTTTTCGTCATGAAGAGGCACTTCTTGAATCTCCTGAGGATTTTCAGTGGCGTAAAAACGGCAAGTTTGCTTATTTACGGTCCCATTCAATGTGAAATGGGCTTCATGGGACATGATAATTTTGTTCCAAAATTGCTCGTCATCTTCGGCCATTTCGATGACTCTTTGGGCCCATTCCAATCGACGAGGCTTGTCCGCAGGCAACATTCTTTGCATCAATTGAATTTTGTACGGGAACAAATGCAAATCAATGCGAATAATCCGTTGTAAAATGGACCGAGCCATGCCCAACTGCTGAGAACGGCGTTTTTGGGATGTTCTTGGGGACCTCTCAACACTGCCTCGTACGGCAGCGATATTCTCGGCCGATAGCCTTGGTCGACTTTTATATGGCCTCTTCGGATTAGAAAGAGCCTTACCAGTCGAAAATTGTTCGTATTAACGCAAACGGAATGACAAATTTAATATGTCCCCCATTCCAAGGTGGAGGGTATAAAAAAAATCGCTGAATAATGTAGCTAAAATCATCAGAATACCGAATATCGGGGGAAACCGTTATATGGGGGCTATACGAAGACGTGGACCTGCACAGACAATTTTCTGTTATAGGCTGTAGTATTCATTTCAAACTTCAAATACCAAATTTGAAACGATTCCGATGAATAATGTCGCAAAAATCATTAAAATACCGAATATCGGGAGGTACCTTAAAATGGGGGCTATACGAAGACGTTGACCTACATGGCTCATTTTTTGTTTAAGGCTATAGCATCCGTTGCGAACTTCAAATACCAAATTTGAAACAATTCCGGTGAATAATGTTGCTAAAATCCTTAAAATACCGAATATCGGTGGGTACCCTTGTATGGGGGTTATACGAAGACGTGGACCTGCAAAATTTTCTGTCTTAGGCTGTAGTATTCATTTCAAACTTCAAATACCAAATTAGAAACAATTCCGATGAACATTGTGGCAAAAATCATCAAAATACCGAATATCGGGGGGTACCGTTGTATGGGGGCTATACCAAAGCGTAGACCTACTTGGCCCATTTTCAATACCAAAAGTTTTGCAGACATTATATACATTTGAGTAAAATTTTATCAATCTACTTCAATTCGTTCGAAAGCTAGAGTTATTTCCACAGACGGACGGACATCGCTAAATCGACATAGAATTTTATGCTGATCAAGAATATATATACGTTGTGGGGTCTAAAATGTATATTTCGAGGTGTTACAAACGGAATGACAAACTTAATATACCCTCCATACTATGGTGGAGGGTATAAAAAAATTTAAAAATTATGGCGCTTGACTTTGTTGCTGATTTTTACCTCACCCTGTATGTTATGAGTTATGCTGTACAAATTATAACTATTTGCGAACTTTGGCTAAATTTAATAAACAATTAACGATTCCTTTACCAGGGATCCGGCTGGAAAGGCGCAGGCAAATATGTGGTCATGGCTGTATCGACTATACATTTCCTAAAACGGATTTTTTCCTAGCAGTCATTAAAAATCATTATTGACCGTATAACCAACATATAACCCACTTTTTCGATCAAATTGAGTCCAATAAAAAAATTTAATTGAGGACATACCTTCCAAGCATAGATTACAAAAATCAATAAAAATAAAATTACAAAATTTTAAATTAAATTTCCGTATTTTTTTTTTTTTTTTTTTCAATTAAACTAAACATCAAATTCCTCCCCAATCCTCAATGCAACAATTTGCATTTTTAAGCAAAAATTTAATTTAATTAATTAAGCAAAGATTCCAATAACAAAATTGTATTTACGATATAAAAAACTTAATTGGCAAATGCCAAAAGACACAGTGACACACACACACACCACTGCACACGCCACACATAAACACACAAACTAGCCATAATTAAATTATGTTAACATTCCAAGCGATTGCCATTCTGGGTTTATTGAATGTCACAGCGCCGTTATTGTTAAATGAAAAAAAAAACAACAATAACGAACATTAAATTATTTTCACCAACAAACATCTGGCAGCTGGCAGCGGAATACAACAACAAAATGCAAATTATTCAAAAACAAATTGCCCCGCCTATAATTAACGATACATAAGTTTTTGGTCAAAATCAATTAGCCACTAACTCGTGAACAATTTTATTTTTTTATTATTCTTTTTTCTATAGATTCTCTTATTGGCATTTCTGTTGTTGTTGCCTGCTTCCGCCACTACCAAAATAATTGCCAATATAAAACCAATTAAAATTCAATTTCGAAATTGAAGGACTTACAGAAATCACACCTTTTGTTGATGGATGTTGGATTTATTTGTTCGCTATCGATCGATGTAGGAAAATAAAGCGAATCAGGTATGGTGACGATAACTGTAGAATGTAAAGGGAAAAGCTAAACTACGAGGCATGGTGGCAGCTTCAACTTCAGTTTTTTCTGAGTAGCTATTAAATGCTCAATTTAGAATCAATTTGTTGTGTCGTATTTTTATACCACCACCACCACCATAGTATGGAGGGTATATTAAGTTTGTCATTCCGTTTGTAACACCTCGAAATAAACATTTTAGACCCCACAGCATAAAATTCTGTGTCGATGTCCGTCCGTCTATCCGTCTGTGGAAATCAGTCTAGCTTCCGAACGAATTGAAGTAGATTGATAAAATTTTACTCAAATGTGTATTATGTCTGCAGGGCTTTTGGTATTGAAAATGGGCCATGTAGGTCCACGTTTTGGTATAGCCACCATATAACGATACCTCCCGATATTCGGTATTTTGATGATTTTTGTGACAATTGAAACAATTCCGATGAATTGTTTCAAATTTGGTATATAAAGTTCGTACTACATACTACAGCCTATGACAGAAAATTGTCTTTGCAGGTCCACGTCTTTGTATAGCCCCTATATAACGATACCTCCCGATATCCGGTATTTTGATGATTTTTGCGACAAGATTCATCGGAATTGTTTCAAATTTGGTATTTGAAGTTCGAAATGAATACTACAACCTATGACAGAAAATTGTCTGGGCAGGTTTACGTCTTTATATAGCCCTAATATAACTGTACCTCCCGATATTCGGTGCTTTGTTGATTTTAGCGACATTATTCACCGGAATTCTTTCCAACTTTGAATTTGATGTTAGTAATGAATACTACAGCCTACGACAGATAATTGTCTGTGCAGGTGCACGTCTTCGTGTAGCCCCCTATATAACGATACCTCCCCATATTCGGTATTTTGATGATTTTTGCGCCAAATTTCATCGGAATTGTTTCAAATTTAGTATTTGATGTTCGCAGTGGATACTACAGCCTGTGACAGAAAATTATCTGTGCAGGTTTACGTCTTTATATAGCCCTAATACAACTGTACCTCCCGATATTCGGTACTTTGTTGATTTTAGCGACATTATTCACCGGAATTCTTTCAAATTTGGTATTTCATGTTCATAGTGGACAGAAAATTGTCTGTGCAGGTCCACGTCTTCGTATAGCCCCCATATAAAGGTACCTCCCAATATATGGTATTTTGATGATTTTAGCTACACTTATCACCGATTTTTTTTTTTTTTTTTTAAATTTCGCATTTGAATATTGTAATGGCTTATGACCCTAATATAACAGCTACATTCGGCATTGTTGAGATTTTAACAGAATTTTTAACGGATTTGTTTGTTTTTGAAAATTGCCAAATTCGTTCCAAATGGTGGAGGGTATTCAAAGTTCGGCCCGGCCGAATTTACAGATTTTTTACTTGTATTTTATAAACTTTGAGGGGTATTCATTGAAGGTTTGATGTTCGAAGGGCAAATGTATGAGCATACATATGTTAACACCAATCAACATCTCAGTGGCTTAAAAAGCGAGAATGGCATATAAAAGTTGTAATTCCCAAACTTTAATTTAATTGAAATTATTTTTGTATTTATTTTTTTTTTTTGGAACATAAGTTGAAAATTGTTTGATGTTTTGACAAACATAATATAAAATTACAGCTTACCTTAGTTAGAATAGAATGCCCGATACAAAATGTGACAATGCGAGACAATCAATATCTGAAATTAAGAAAAAAATAAATAATAAAAATATTAAATATTATAATAAAAAAAATTAAAAAAATAATTGTAACCATAATAAACTTATAAGGGAAAGCTACCAAAAGCAGTGGATCGTTTTTGCCAATATATGAGATACATTTGCTCTCTGGCTCATGGCTTGAAAAATTTGTATGAATTAAAAAAACGTCTCATCAAAATAACAGTTTTAGACCCTATGTCTCTTTGGACGAAACACATTTCAGGGAATGAAATTTGCATCAACATTTAACAAAGTACGAAAAGAGATAATTAAACAATTAAAAAAACATTAAGTTCGGTCGGGCTTAACTTTTCATACCCTCCAATTTTTAGACAAATCGTGAAAAAATCTAATAAAACCATCAAAATACCGAATATTGGGAGGTACCGTTTCATGTGAGCTATACCAAAACGTGTACCTATACATACCATGTTTCGCCACCGGAACTAGAACGCATTATGACCTACAAATACCAATTTTCAGACAAATCCTTGATGAAATGTGACAAAAACCATTAAAATTCCGAATATCGGGAGGTACCTTTATATGGGGGCTATACCAAAACGTGGACATATACATGCAGTGTTTCGCCACCGGGTGTATTATGACCTACAAATACCAATTTTTAGACAAATTCTTGAAAAAATGTGACAAAAACCATCAAAATACCGAACATGGAGAGTTACCGTTATATGAGGACTATACCAAAACGTGGACCGATATATCTCGTTTTCAACCCCCTCTTTCCAAGGTGGAAGGTATAAAAAGACCGAACTGTTAATACCCGTGCAAAATGTAAAAAAAATCGTTGAAAACTGACACTATACTTTTAAAAATTCCGAATTACTGGTGTAGCTTTTATATGCAGCATCTGCCATAGAAAGGGTGGTAATAGGCAGGTATAATAGGTATATTAACACATGAATGTTATATCATTAATTCTCCAAACATCAAAAATTTAGCTCAAATCATCAAAATCCGGATATAGGGATGATGGTTATACGCAAACGTAGACAATTAAATCCAGTTATCTGCTATAGAGAGGGATGCCTATTACGAACTCCAAACACAAAATTTAAGACAAATCAAAATACCGAATATCGGGAGGTGCCAAAACTTGGAGCTATATGGACAGTTCTATGCAAAGATGTTTCCGACTTCCTAGGAACACAAACAGCTAATTTAGTTTAGCCGACAGTTGTATTTCCTCAGTCAATGTTCAATTATTTAAATATATTTTGACTCTTGTTATGATTATTAAAATTGTTGACCCCTCTATGGAGAAGGTTCCGAATATTGGGCCAATATTGTCCATTTCGTATCAGACCGAAATAAATATGACATAAATATTGCGACGAGCCAGGTTTGGACTACTTTAGTTACTTCTATCACTTTATATGAGATATGTGATAATTATACCCTCAGCCATATGGCTACAGAGGATATATATAATTTGATACAACCAAAACGCGCATCATCGAAATAACGGTTTTAGACCCTAGATCTTTTTGGACCAAATCCGTTTCATCTAGCGACGTCCGTCCGTCCGTTTGTCTGGCTGGTGCGCACGATAACTCCAAACGGGAGTATCCGATTTGGTCCAAACTTGGTACGACGTAATAATATTGTCAAACTTAGGTCGTGTTCGGAGGTGGACAATATCGATCCACTCCTTCTGGTACCTCTCCCACAAAAGTTCGAAGATTTAAAAAAAAATTATTTTACTGCACAGGAAGTGAAAGGATAATCCGATTTTGCTCCATCTTTGCAAATCTCAATATTTGCATCAGTGCTGGGTCAAGTGCGAAAAAGGACAATGTCGGTCCACTCTATCCAGTACCTCCCCCCACAAAGGGTCAACATTTTGAATAGCCTTCATGGCACGAAAAATAACATCCGATTCCATTCCGGTTTGGTATACTTAATATTATATAAAATCCGAAATAAGCATCCGGCTCTCTTCATATCTCAAACATTCCATTATTTCTACAAACACAAGACCTGTTATATAGATGGTAGAGATAGGACCATTCCTTCTGCTACCACCCCACAAAGAGTCAAAATTTTGAATATCTATAAAGTTCATAAAAAACTTAAATTAAGATCCGATTCCATTCAGATTTGGTACATCTCAATATTTACGTTTACACAAGATCTGTTATAAAAATTGTAGAAATCGGACCATTTCTTCTGGTACCTCCTCCACATATGGTTCAAGCTTTTCGAAAACAAAACGCTCAAAGAAAGCGAAATAAGCATCTAACTCTCTTTAAATTTCACACACACAAACAATTTAATCTAAAACAAGATCTGTCGTGAAGAGGATACCTTCTGGTACTATACCCTAAGTCACCCTTTGTGGTCTTCACGACAGATCTTGTTTTAGAATAAAAAAAACCGACTGATACTTTTTAACTCTTTTTTTTCGTAAAACGGGAGCTCATTTTGGAAGATGGGCTATACTAACGTCTACATTTAAACATATTCCCCATGTATCGGTACCTTGCAAATCTGGTATTTTGAATGCTTAAAGATAGATCTCTACTCCCTAAATCTCTGTCGAATATCAATTCTAGGTACTTTAAAAGTTTTAATATTCTTGAAATTCTTGGACGATCGATTTTTTTTAATTTTTTAAATAATTTTTCATTAACGAAAACTTTGTGTTTTTCTCACATTGCATCGATAAATAATTAATAGACGGAAAAATCCTTTCCCAAAACATAATAAAAAAAACTTAACAGAATTAATGGCAATACGCAAAATATGCAAAACTTTTCATCATTATGAGTATTACCCATCGTCCACCACCCTCTCGCTCATAATATTTCGCAATAAAACTAAAAAATTTGCAATGGCATGAAATTGGTGTCACCAGCCCAGGAAGGCAATAAAAATCTCTCTGGCCGGGTGTATTTTTGTGTATTGTTAAAAAATTCATTGTGAAATTTATAACAATAAAGTTTTCTGGTTTTTTTTGCAGCCGTTCATGGCTGACCTTTCCTCATTTTCTTGATTTTGTGTTTCGCACAAAAACAGCAGCACCACCACCGCCATTAACCCGGGTGCTGAAAAGAAATGTTAACAATTTAAGGAATTTTTTCATTTCATTTAGTTTTTTTTTTTTTTTTGTTTTGTTTTCAATAAATTCGCAACGTGCAATTTTTATGAGGCTTTTTTTTTGCCTCATAGACTGGGGGAATTTTTGATGGTTTCCTTGCACTTGATTTATATCTTGCGATAATAGAGAGTTGGGAAAATGAACGCGGAGAAGGGTTGGTGAGGGAAATGTTAGTAGTGTTTAAAGTGAAAATGAAGACAAAACTAAGTTATCTTCGTACTTGACCTGCTGCAGGGAACATACACAAGAGTTTGGGCTTCCTAGACAGAAGACGATATAGAAAAAAAATATTAGTTACAAGAGTAAGGGAATGAACAGGGTTGCCCATATTCGACGGACCCATCTGGCAACGCCATAACTTTTGACAGAGATGTCACATCGGTTAATGACATACCGCGTTTGAAGCGTCAGTCCAAGCAGATTTTTACCATGAACCAATACACGCCACGCGAGCGTCATCGAAATGGCCGAAGATGACGCGCAATTTTGGAACAAAATTATCATGTCCGATGAAGCCCATTTCACATTGAATGGGACCGTAAATAAGCAAAATTTCCGTTTTTACGCCACTGAAAATCCTCAGGAAATTCAAGAAGTGCCTCTTCATGACGAAAAAGCCACAGTTTGGGGCGCGTTATTGCGAAAACGGTCATTGGGCCGTTTTTCTTCCAAAATGAAAACGGCCATGCTGTTACCATCAATCAGGAGCGTTATCGCGACATGATGACCAATTTTGTGATGCCAATTATTCGTCGAAAGCGTATGAGGCAGTTCTGGTTTCAACAAGACGGCGCTCCACCGCACACAAGTCGCATAACAATCGATGGGTCCGTCGAATATGGGCAACCCTGTATATATATGGCCAATAGGTAAAAGTGGACATTTTTTTTTTGCTACGACGATTTTTTTAGCCTCCACTTGAAAAGGAGGATATATTAAGTTTGACATTCCGTTTCTAACATCCCTAAAAACTCGTCGTAGATCCCATAAAGTATATATATTCATGATCAGCGGACGATTTAGCTATGTCCGTCTGTCTGCCAGTTGAAATAACCATGCAGCCCACATAATTCGACGTATAGCTTCAAACTTTGGGGGGACAATTAGTATTGTGTCTAGGATAGTTGGTATTGAAAATGCGATATATCGGTCTACGTTTTGGTTTAGCTGGTACCTCCAGATATTCAGTATTTTGATTATTTTTCCCACATTTTTTTTACGGATTTGTCTCAAAATTAGTATTTGTAGTTACTAATGGGCTCTAGCTAGAAACAAACTGGGAAGCGGATTAAAAGCTAATTTAAACAAGTTACATTACCAAAATATTTACAATATATGTACAGGATGAGATGAAAAAAACTTCAACCAATTTCAGACTGCTGTCATTCCTAAGCCACTCGATCGACAGCTTTTAAAATTATTCCAGTTCAAAAGCATTTCGGCGAGAATTTTCCAGAAAAAAAATTATTCGTGATGGAATTCTTTATATTTGGCTGGAAAACGACAAGTGGCTATCGTAAGAGGACTCCAGCACTTAAATGTGAATAAATCTTTTGTGTCTCGTACCCGACGTCAAGGAAATGGACGGAAGAAAACAACAACATCAGCAGAAATGGTTCGAAAAGTAAAGAAGCGACTTGATCGAAACCCGCGTCATAGTGGCCGAAAAATGGCTCGTGAGCTTAACATATCGCAATATTCCATCCGGCAAATATTGAAAAATGAGCTCGGGGTAAACATTTTATAATATTATACATTTTGTAATATTTTTTCACCTGGGGTTATTATATACAGATTGCAATTATCGTCCGATCCTCACAAGGGAGGGTTAGGCTCAGAAGGGCTAGGCCTATTGTT